TTCTAGAGAATGAAAAGTTGCATAACATATCAAAAACTCATCTTAGACTGACTTCATTTTAAAAAATGGCAACAAATATACTGAGAAAAATCGACTGTCATCGATTCCTTAATTCTGACCTTTTCCGATCATATTCTATTTCACAATCCCAATAAATAGATAATGTAAAATAATTCAAAATAAATTATTTTTTTCAGTGATTGATGATCTATCTTTTAGCATTTTCCACGAAAAGTTGTCTTGCTGAAGTTCATAAGACGATTTTTGACGAGGTTTTTTCTAATAAGTTGATAGTGGTCAAAAGTCAGTATTGGCTAACTTCACTATAGGAGATTGAAATGAGGTAAATATTTGGATTTTATGCTTTTCGAGTATACCCTTTCGAATGTACATAAAAAATGAAAAATCTAAATATTGACCAGTTGCTCGTGTATTGTGACGATCGTTCGGTCTTCTCATGAACGCTCTCTCTTATATAGCATGAATAGACCGTATAGAATCAATCTGACCAATAATTAATGGTCAAATTATCATAAATAAAAAGATAAACATTTTTTGTTGACATATTGTCATATTTCAATGATAAGTTAAATGTATTCTCGTTTTAGAGAGTAGAATTTGTCTCGTGTCTCTATCTAATACTGCGATAGCTAATCTATCTTTCGACGCTCATTATTAAATAAGATCATGACAGTATCAATTTCATAAAATCCGGCAAATTTTCAGTGTCGAATCTCCGAGTATACCTAATCAATAACCGATCCATCAGTTTGATAGATATCGATAAATAGAAAAAGATAATTGAAAACTAAATAAAATATTGTTATAATGTCTTCTAATCTTTGGTGTAGAAAACTAAATCTAATATAGTTATTATTCAAAGAATGTAACTAATTCTCCGAAGTTTTTCAAATCCCTATGTAAGTGTAATAAAAAAAAAAGTATTTTATAAAAATAAATTATTTAAATTGTTATTGAGTATTGAATGAATAAACGGTTATCTTGATTTAACTGTCTGATGTTTGCTTTCTTTTTCAGCATTGATTATCGGTCCGATGAATCTTTGTGGTGAAACTTTGCGTTTATTCCCTTGATTTTGTTCCATTCGTTTCGAATGAGTTTCTTATTTGATATTGACTGATGATAATCAACTGTTATTTAATCAATCGAATTATTTCTGATAATTTTCTCTCATTAAGTAATGACGTTTTCGTTTTTTTCATCGGTCTTATAAGAATTGTTTGATCATTTCGAAATAATCTTTATCATTGTTGTTTATAGTTAACATTAATTTAAATTTATTTTCACCATTTCAAAAACGAAAATATATAGAAAAGAAATAACTATTTAACATATTAATGTTATATAAATGAACAGAAAATGACTAAGTTGATAGGCACAAATAGAGAAAGACCATCGAACTACTAAATTCGAACAATTTTGCCACTTTGAAACCGAGAAGAGAGATTGTTGAGACGATTATTGCATTTTCAAAATATATTAATTATATTGATTTCTCTTGTTTTGATCATCACCCATTATATATAGAAATTCTTCTTTAACCCTTTCGAGTCAATTCAATTTTTTCACGAAATAGCTTTAATAAATTTACTTTTATGTACATTTATCTTTCGATAAAAGCATTCACTGATCTTTCTAGTGCGGGCAACCATCTGTTTTTCTTTTTCTTATTTGTATCACGACATAGGCCGTCCTCTTTCGAGTGGAGCTGAGTAATTATTCACGTTTGTTTTTCTCTTTCTTATTTGTTACGCTGTAGGAACGAGATAACGAAACAAAATTTCGACTTTTTTTCTTTCGCATTCCTTTCAAAGTATTATCTTTGGTTTTTTCTCATTTGTATTAAAACACCTGAAGTTTTGATCTAATTTACATGTCGTCTGAAGAAATCGATACAGAAGATAGCAGAAGTTCACTGAGTGATGTCAGTTCTTTTGATGATGAGTTTGCTAGAATGCAATTTGAACCATCAAGCTCTGAGGAAGAAATTATTGATGATGACCGAGATTTACAAGTTTGGAATGAAATAGAATCAGAATCGGATGCTGAATTCCAAGAGGATCATGGAGTTATCGAAGAAGTAACGCCGGCTTTGGAAGATAATACAATCAATCCTATCGATTGTTATCGACATTTCATTACTGACGAAATTATTAGTCTTATGGTTCATGAAACTAATCGATATGCAGAGCAACACTTACAAGCCCAAGAACTTAGCAAACGATCACAAATTCTTCAATGGAAACCAAGTACTAATGAAGCAATGCTTAAATTTTTGGGAATTATTATTCAGATGGGATTGGTACAAATGCCGAAAGTGGATTACTACTGGAGCAAAAGCAAGTTGTATGGATTCGAAGTCATTCAAAACACAATGGCAAGAGATAAATTTGAATTACTTCTCAAATTTTATCATTTTTCAAATAATAAAAAGATGCATGCAGACCAGGACAGGTTGTTCAAGTTGAAACCACTTTTGGATTTATTGCAAGCTAGGTTTAAGTCGGTTAACATTCCTGACTCAATTATTACTATCGAGGAAACAATGGTACCATGGAAAGGTAGACTTCTCTTCAAAAAATATATTCCGGACAAATCGCATAAATATGGCGTTAAGATATACAAGGCAACGAGTACGAATGAATACACTTGGAATTTTACAGTTTATACTGGTAAGCCGGATCCAATGACAAGTCTTGGACACGCTCAAACAGTCGTAATGGGTTTAATAGACGATCTTTTGGGATGCTATCGAACTGTAGTAGCTGACAACTTCTTTACAAGTATTTCTCTTGCAGAACATCTATTGCAAAATGACACATATTTGATTGGAACAATGAGAAGTAATCGTGCCGGATTAGGACATGAAGTTGTTCGAAAAAAGCTCAAGCATGGTGAAGTTTTTGGGATCAAGAACAAAAATGACATAAAATTGATCAAGTAAAAAGACAAAAGAGACGTTTTGATGATATCCACAAAACCATCGCATACAGCAACTGTAGTGGGTGCCAGGAAAATCAATAAAATTAAACGAACGCATAATGAAGCCACAAGTTGTTTTCGATTATAATGAAGGAAAACAAGGTATAGATTTATCTGATCAACTGGCAGCATATTACACATGCCTTAGACGCTCCGTAAAATGGTATCAAAAGGTGACATTTGAATTGATATTTGGAACAGCAATAGTTAATGCATATTTGATTTATAAGGAAAACTATGACACAAGCCATATGACGATATTACAGTTTCATGAAAGTCTTGTACGATTTTTACTGCTTGGTACACCATTCGAGAAACTGAAGCCTGGTTCGAAACAACAATTAACAAGTAGCTTGAAGCGTAAACTCGGTGGTCACCAGCTAGAAGAAATGGAAGGACCTGCAGGCGATGTCCGAAGACGCTGTACTGGGTGCTATGTGAAAAGCAGGAAACAACAATCAAGAGAAGCGAGCGCAGTGGCATCAAAGAAAGTAAAAACCTTCTGCCCTCATTGTGACAAATTTTTTTGTCTTGATTGTTTTAATGAGAAGCATCATGCTATGAAATAAAGGACTCAAAAATTACAAAAGGCAGAGAAGATGACACATTATATGTACTCTCCTGCCTGAAAAAGGCAAAAGAAAGTGTTTTTCTGCACAGTTTCTTCTAAAGATATAGTGCGACCCACTGGTGGATCACATCGACTCGAAAGGGTTAAATAAAATTAAAATTAATTTTTAAAAATAGGGAATGTTAATGATAAAATGAATGAAATGACAATCAAACATCCAGGTCGTTGTGGTCGTCCTCAACCGAAATATCGTCGATCCGATTTAGATTTAACTGTTGCATGGAAAGAAGTACCTAATGAAAACCAAGAATAAAAAAATGAAATTAACTGCTGAACGTGTTCAATCAATATTTAAATCAATAGCTGCTTCAGTTTGTCATATATTAGGAATGAATCCACGTCATTCAGACCTGATTGGATGATTATTATTGTTCTTCCTGTTCCACCGATGGTTGTTTGTCCATCAGTATTAGTATTTGAAATAGGACGTCGTCAAGATGATTTTACATAAAAGCTCATCTTAAAGGAAAATAAGGTTGAATTTGTGAAAGTTTAATGGGAAAGCGACTTGATTTTAGTATACGAACAGTAATAACACCAGATCCAAATTTGACTATTGATTAAGTTGCGTTGTACCACGTTCAATTGCACAAAATTTAACAGTATCAGAAATTGTAGCACCATTTAATATTGAATGGTTACAAGAATTAATTCGTCGTAATGCAGCTAAATATATCATTTATGATACGGGAGATAGAATTGATCTTCGTTTTCATCCAAAACCATCAAATTTACATTTACAATGTGATTATATTGTTGAAAGACATATGATGGATAATGATTTAGTTGTTTTTAATCGTCAATGATGTCACATAGTGTTAAAGTATTACCATAGTCAACATTTCGTTTAAATTTAAGTGTAATAACATCATATAATGCTGATTTTGATGGTGATGAAATGAATTTAGATTTATCACAATCTGTTGAAACAAAAGCTGAATTATCTCAATTAATGATGGTACCTCGATTAATCATAACACCGCAATCAAATCGACCTGTTATGGGTATTGTTCAAGATACATTAACAGCTGTTAGAAAAATGGCATGACGTGATGTTTTTATTGAAAAAAGATGATTTTATGTGTTTATTAGTGCATTTACCATCATGGGATGAACATATTCCACAAGCAGCTATTTTAAAACCAAAACCATTATGGACTGGAAAATAATTATTTTCATTAATTTTACCTAAAGAAGTGAATTGTGTTCGAACACATGGACAACATCCAGATGATAAAGATTTAGAACCATTTAAATGAATTTCACCTGATGATACAAAAGTTCTTGCTGAAAATGATCGACTTTTATCAGGAATTTTATGTAAAAAACCTTAGGAACAAGTGCTGGCTCATTAGCACATATTGTTTTTACGGAATGTGGTCATAATATTGCTGGAAAACTTTATTATCATATTCAATTCATTGTTAATAATTGGTTAATGTTAGAAGGACATTCAATTGGTATTGCTGATACAATTGCTGATCAAACAACTTATGAAAGAATACAAGAAACTATTAAAAAAGCTAAAAATGAAGTTCATAAAGTAATTGAAAGAGCACATAGAGATACATTAGAACCATCACCAGGAAATTCATTAAGACAAACATTTGAAAATATGGTTAATGGTTTATCAAATAGTGCAAGAGATAAAACAGCATCATCAGCACAAAATCTTTATCAGATTTTAATCAATTTAAAACAATGGTTGTTGGTAGTGCTAAAGGTTCATTTATAAATATATCACACGTTATTACTTGTGTTAGACAACAAAATGTTGAATGAAAACCAATTCCATTTGGTTTTAAACATCGTACATTACCACATTTTATTAAAGATGATTACGGACCTGAAGCAAAAGGGTTTATTGAAAATTCATATTTACAAGGTTTAGCACCTGTTGAATTTTATTTTCATGCAATGGGTGGAAGAGAAGATTTAATTGATACAGCTGTTAAAATAGCTGAAACTGATTATATTCATAGAAGATTAATTAAAGCTACGAAATCTGTTATGGTTAAGAGACGTTCCATGAGAAAATCAAAAAATTCCACGTATCGAAAAACATGGGGGTCAACCGATTTTGAATCTGACCTCATAGGAATTTAGGCCTCAGTGTACCATATATAAATCCAAAATATTACGGCCTAAAGATCTTCCTATAGTTGGCTAGGACCAATGAACCTGACATACCCTAAAAAATACCATCAAAAAATGCAAAAAATTCAACTTTTAGTTTTGCTGAATTTTTTCTTGCAAATTTTT